GAGGAAACATTCGAACATGGGAAGGTCTTGGATGTTCCAGACAGATTCGGGGTGTGAGTGGGGTTTGGGGAAAAGGGAGAGTTTCGATGAAAATTAACTTCAGTACTAGCTGTCAAAGAACTTTAACACTGCATTAAACAGAATGGTTTTAATAAAAGTGAAATCAATGAACTGATTTTATTTGGCTAAAAGGTTTGATCGCTTTCTAGAAATCTTTACCATGTTTATCCTATTGTAAAACAAGAGTGAACTATTGTGGGCACTAAAGATTGATCATTTTGGCTGCTCCTTTTGTTCAGGGAACATCGGCTTACTTTGTGTCCTCTGCCACAATTTTGCCTCACTCTCTCGAACTCTATCCCAGAGACCCTCTGATTTGTTCCCTTTTCTTCCCACATTCAAGGCTCATCTCAAAATGTACCTCTATGACTATGAGGCATCATTCTCCTTCCCATCCCCCCTCAGCTTCCACCCACAGCTTGGGTGCCCATCCAGTACTGTCAAGCTAGATAGATGTAAATAGTATTGTCCCTTTCTTCACCAGGATTCCTTAAGACCATATTCAGAACTGAGTACGTTCAGGGAAAAACTGGTTGATCTAAAGTTTACAAGGTACATTGAGTCACAGTTAGGGTAAAAGCCCTCACACTAGTAGAAATAATATTTGGTATAGCACCTTATAACAGGGGACTATCTTAAAGCACTTCACAGGTTTTACTATAAGGTGTAGTGACTGTGTAGTTTGTAGGCAAAGAGTACAAATCATGCAACAAAACTGGAAATCAAATGTTGAGGACCAAAATAAAATGAAGGGGAGCAATTGAACACTGAAATCACAACAATGGCATAGATATCACCTGCCCCGGCCCTACCCTGTTTTTGCAATGCAAAGGAATGGGGTCCCACATCTCAACATCCCAGTGAGGTGCAGGTCAATATATCAATCACATCAAAGCAAAATGTTGATTTATGTACATTTATACGGTGTCCTTCACATCGGGAGGATGTCTCAAAGTGCTTCACACTGCTGGCTAGGCATGGGAGCCGAAGGGGGTGGGGAGGGGAGAGATGACGGTTATCATGGTCAAACCCTTGAGCGTTTTGGACGAAATGTTCTCATTCCACCTAATCGTGAAGTTACCATCGGATTGATTTTAGTGTTTCATGGTTAATTTGATGTAATACCATTAATGGTTTGTGCCTCTGTGTGATAACAAGTTTGCATTCATATAGCACCTTTCAGGTTGGGAGAATGTGCCACGATCCCAGACAATGCAGGGTTTGCTAGTCCACGGATAATCACCTTATGGAGTTCACCCAGTGATTCAGTGGGTAACTGCACTGTCTGATGTGCTTCTGCACCGATCAGAGCGTGTGCTCTATTGAGCTGTCTGAGCTTAGTGGGGTAGCAGTGGGAGCTCGATAATTGGTCTCAATCAATGTCCCTGGCCCAGGAGTGAACACATGAATCAGGGCTCCTGCTTCCCATGTGCATGTGAGTGGACATCAGGGGAGGGAGGTGTGGGCTCAGTCGAGATGCTCCACGAGGTAGAATATCCTGCTGTGGCTCACTGTGATGAGGTACTGGATGACTGCCGGGAGCATGGAACTGTGAACCCAGCAGGAGTTATTAACTTCAGGAGAGGAAAGAGAAGGAGAAAAGTGAGGAAAAATTAACTAATGCCAGAGACGTACACCATGCAGCAGTGCAATCGTTGCCTGTACTGAACCTGAACCTATACCAGCAGTAGTGGAGTTAATGTACAGGTTAGCCTGTGCTGACATCGCTTTTTACACGGTTCACTTGCTCTGCTCCTGGGACACTCTACCATTACAAATGCTACAGTACTTTCTTGGTTTAAAATGTCTTATTCACTACTTACATTTTAGCAGGATTTCCAGCCCTTCACCGACACCCGGTGCTACATCAAAACTCAAAAAATATCATGTTTTTTCAAATAGAAAAATAAAGCAGTAAGTTGGATGTAAAAGGGGTACATTGCATAAAAGTAGCTAATGTGATTATACACTGAGAAAGCCACAAGTTTAACTTCACAACAGGAATTAACTTATTTATGCTCAACTTCTTTATGATTCAAGTTCTTAGTATGTGGAATAGACTCACCTAGTGCAGTAAACACTGAATTAGTACAGTAGTAAATATGCTAAACTTAGCAAACGAATAGCAAAGTCCTTCCCTGCCAGAACTGAAAGATGCTTCAAACAGCATTTGTGATTTTTTTTCAGTAATGCACAACTATTATCTGTTAATTATACGAAAACATATTTTCCAATATTGTTAACTGTACATTTGTCATATTAAGCAAAAACACAAGCAGGAAGTGTGCTTTTATCACATGAAAAACTGAACGTGGCTTGAATAGAGATCAGATGAGTCCCTGCTGATGGGATCATGCTGAGCAGACTTGGGCTCTCGCACAACAGCTCACTGCCGATGTAGTCACACCTTCTGCTCAAGAGGAGCTGTGCAAGTACTGGCAGCAGAGCAAGCCTTGAGCACACAGATCTCATTAAATAGCTCTTCAGGGATTGCGCCTCAGTCAAGTCCATTGTTGCTGAGCTCTTTACTGATTCAGACAATTTGGATTCACTTGTGCTGGCTTTTAAAATCATTTAGTGCCACATGTGTGCAAGAAGACATTTGACTCACTTTTCGCATCCCAACCCACCCTGTACACATACAACATTATATTGGCAATAATTTGGCAACAGTAGTGGACCGTTCCTCTATGTTCACCTGATAAGGGTTGCTTGGTTTAAATGACTTGTTTAACCCTTTTTTTCTGACATTTTCTCCTATTCATTTTCCTGTCTGTCTGTTCTGAATGTCCAATTAATTACAAACCTGGTTAACCTCCCATTCCTGGAAGGCAAGGGTCACATTAATACTACTCGTAATTGAAGATCAGTCAGTCATCTCCTACAGAGAGACACTACAGGCAATCACATGATTCCTTTCGCAATACTTAGTAGCATAGAAAATTATAGCACAGATAAAAGCCACTCAGCCCATCATGTATGTGTTGGTTCTTTGAAAAAGCAACCCATTCAGTCCCATTTACCTATCCTTTTTTCCTGCACATTGCTTTTTAAGATATCTTTCTTGTCTCCTGTCAAAAGTTAACAATAATAATAATCCTTGCATTTGATATAGAGCTTTTCACGTCTTCTCGACGTCTCAACTAGACTGTAAAGTGAATTGACTGTATATTTGTGGGCGAAACGCGGCAGCCAATTGCACGCAGCAGTGTCCCACAAACAGTCGTGGATTGAAAATGACCAATTTATTATTGTTTTGTTTTGGAGGGATTATTATTAGGCGTGTGGAGTAAGGAAATTTGCCCAAGGTTTCGCCCTGCCTGCAATGAACCCAGGTGTCTCGCTTGGAAGGCACTGAGCTCCAGGACGCCACAAGAAATATGAAATATGCCTCAAACACCATACCCAGAAGGGCATGCCACATCCTAAACTCTGTGTAAATACATTCCTCCTAATTCCCCCCCTCCCCTCCCCTTTGCTAATCATCTTCAATTGTCGCTTTTCCCCAGTCATTGAATCATACTGAGTCATGCCACAGGGTATTGACTCTGGTCAGTGTCAGAGAGTCCTGCACAGCTTCAGTTTCATGCAGTGCCTGAGGGATGTAGACTCCAGCCAATTCACTCAGAGAGAGTGATTGATTTTGAAGCAGAATTCTCCATCTTTCCAGATGAAGAAAAGGAGGAATTAAGAGAAGGGCCTCTCTTTCCAGCAGCTGCCTCAGGCAGAAAACTCTTGTTCAAGGTGTGCTCCTGACTCAGTGCATATTTCCTTTGACAAACACAACGTATGAACTGTATCTTTTTATTTGCAGATGCAATTGTCTAAACAAGTCATTCCCAGCAGGAATTCTATCATTGACCAGTGCCTGTGGCAGGTTTTCAACTGCCTCCTCCTATGTGGATTGCCATGAAGATTGTTTGTGAAAATCACCTTTTCGACTTGATAAGCTGTCCAGTATCCTTCAGGCAACAAAGGATTCATTCTTGAAGCCAGCTGCAGACTCACCTATTGTGTTTCAAGTGAAGATGTAGTATGGGAAGTCTCTAATCAAGATAAAAAGATCCAAATTCCCCAGAGAACATGTTGAAATGAGGAAAGCATTAGTATTCATGTCCCTTCCGGTTGGATCCTTTTAGTAGGTTCATTGGAAGCTTGGTTACATACAATTATGTACAAATTACCCAGATCTACTCCATATTTGCCCACATTTCTGCTGGTGCTAAAATGTCAAGTACAGAGGACTACACTGATGGAGCAGAAGATATGTGAATAGTCCCAACAATTTCAGATAAGAGTCCACCATTGATCCATCTCATCTACCCATCTACTCAATTTCCCAAAAGGTTTCTTCAATACATTTATCTCGTCATCTAATACAAGACACGATGCACCGAATGGCCTCCTTTTGTGCTGTATAATTCTATGAAGAAGACACAAATTTACACTTATTTAGCACCTTTAATGAAGGTAGCCCTTTGGTCCATCTCATCCCTTCAGAATACACATCCTACCGTTGTCCCATCACAGCATCAAGCTGCTTTTTGAGTCCAGTGTCTTGGCATTTGTATTCTGTTAAAATACCTCATTGCAGATCAAATGCTGTATTTCTGATGCTGCCGTGCACTATTTGTATCACGATACATTGGCACTGAGAGAAAATTCTGGCTTTGCAAAAACACCCATCTTTTAATGGGAAAATGTTGCAACAAAGAACTAATGAAGAGTAACGGATGAACCAACAGATTTTTTTCTTAATTCATAATATTCTGGGGTAAGCTAAAGACAAGGTCACTACTTCTGTTGAAGAAACATATTTGTGTTCAATATGTTCGCAGAGTTTTGGGGACAGATAAATGAATGTTACTATTGTACAAGAGAACTGGCTTCATGTATTGATTTTAAAATATTCTTATAGCACAGACTGTAGAGAGTCTTACCTTGAGCACAGAACTTCAGCTCTTTAGCATCTAAAACTGTGCCCCGTTTATCTGGTGCCTTTTTACTGGCTCGATGATAACTCCGTCTTTTTTTGCTCTCGCCCCAAAGGTTTGATCCTCCATGTATGCTTGGTATGTTCAACACAGCAATGCCTTCCAGGGAAATATTACTCAAATCCAGCAAAATACCATCAACCTGGAAAAAGAATCAAAAAAATTTTGACCTCACAGAGTGGTGCACACATAGAATAAAAACTCAACTGAAATTATGTTCAGTCTTATCCTGTTAGGTCACTAAAAAAATTAAATTCACACAGAATTGTGAAAAGTTCTTAAATATGGTTTCAGCTTAGAAGCCCAATTTTCTGCGGTTATTAAAAAGACCTGAGTTCCAAATTTCATTCGAGAGGATGTAAAATTAGCACTGAAGGAAAAGCAAGAAGGAATAGTTTACATTGTGCTAAATGATTCCTTTATTAATGCACGGTACAAATATCTGATTAAGTCACAAGTACAGAGATCGATGAACACAGAGTACATACTGTGGTCCAGGTCCTGTTGGGATGATTGATATGTCATCTATAGAGTACAGGTGGTAAGGGTTGAATAATGCATGGTTCTAGCCTGAAAGAATTTTGTCTTGATTTATTTTTGGGAGATAAGGAATAGTTTCAGTTTTATCTTCTTGAAGGTTTTCTCTCTGAACAATCGGTTTCCTTTGAAGACTGAGTGTGCTAGAGAACTTTGGTCAGTTCAAGTTCCACAAAGTCTGCTTCATCTAATGTGGGAAATGACCTTTCCTCGTTCCACACATTAATGCTGTGTCAGTTGGTGGCACTTTCACCTGCGAATCAGATGATTGTAGATTCAAGCCCCACTTCAGGACTTGGAACTCATATAGGGTAAGCTGACACTCCATTGCAGTGCTGCAGTGTACTGCACTGTTGGAGGTGCTGTCCTTCAGATGAGATGTTAAACCAAGGCCCCATCTGCCTTTTTAGATGGGCATTAAAGTTCACATTGCATCATTCGAAAAGAGTGTTTTTCCCATAGTCCTGCCAACAATCCAGCAAATATAATTGGTCATTCACTTCACAGCTGTTTGTGGGACTTTGCTGTGCACAAATTGGCTGCCACATTAGTGTTACCAGATTATTTGACCACAAAGGGAACCTCAGGCACAGCCCAATCCTATCCTCACCTGACATATCCCCAGACATCATTTCCAGCAGAGGTCACTGGAGAAAGATCAAGGAGTGAGATCATAGACTGATTTTACCATTTCCAACCCAAAGATGATGCTCGAACCATAGAAATTTACAGCACAGAAAAAGGGCATTCATAAGAACATAAGAAATAGGAGCAGGAGTAGGCCATTCGGCCCCTCAAGCCTGCCCTGCCATTTAATAAGATCATGGCTGATCTTCTAACCTAATTCCATTTACCTGCTCTATCCCCATATCTCTTAATCCGTTTAGGTTTTAAAAATCTATCGATCTCAGTCTTGAATATATTCAATGATCATCCCATCATGTCTGTGCCTGTTCTCTCGAGAGCAATCTTTTCAGTGCCATTTACATGCTCTTTTGCTATACCCCCGGAGCTGAATCTTGAAGGCCCAAGTTGCCTCTTCAAGGGCAATTGCTGAACCCTTAACTATTGCTCTCAGCTGAGATCAAACTGCTTGGCCCAGAAGAAAAAAAAATTATACAATACAATTTGCATTTATATACTGCCTTGTATATTGGGAGGATGTCTCAAAGTGCTGGAGCAATATTGATTTATTATATTTTTACAATACTTTTCCGCCAGCAAAACCAGTGACTTCAGGTCAGTAGAGTCATTGAATGCCCTTGTTTTGAGAGATTCAAGAACAGAACAAAAGCCACAAACTGCATATGTTGGCAGGTCTCCTACCAGCTCCAAGTCTTAGCAGGATTTTTATTGTGCTGGCACTGGGGCATGTGCCACTGCAATGCCAAATTACAAGGGAATGCCTCCAAATCTATTGGATGCAAAAGTAGGTAGAGGGGAAGTAATCTTTTCTTTTCCTGTCAACTTCCATTCATACATGTTAAAAGGAAATATGAAAAGAGGCACAATAAAATAAACATTTGTCCCAGAGTTTCTGAACGGGTAACCCATTGACTGGTCACAAGAACAAGACAAAGAGAGAGCAGAGCTTTCTGGAGCTGAAATATATCATCAGCGAGAATTGTCACATGAATGAGTCAACAAAATTGACCAGCTGGCAGGTTATTATTATCATGCACACAAGATATTGAACATTTGGCAAAAATAAGTCATTTCTCCACCTGCTTTACTGCTTCTGCAGGGGTCCATCATGGACGAGTGACAGAAGGAAGCTCAAGCACTATGATTTCCAACCGACTCTGGCAAACTCTCTGGTTGTGTCATCCAGGGGTAACACCTACTTGACTTGTGGCAAGGCGCTTCTACTCCTTTATCTTCAGGAGAGGAACAGAAACGTTAAAGAGAAAGTCTGTGGCATTTGGGAGGCGAGCGAGCAACAAAACAATTGTACTGCAGTAGAGCTCGCGGATAAAGCAGTGGGCATATCTCGGTCATTTCTTTTTAAATGTACTTTGTGTAAGATTGAAGCTTCCAACAAGCAATGATGGAGTATCTGCTGAGTGTTAATTTGTAAACCCTAATCCTACAAGGATTATTGGTTTACAGTAATAATCATAGCAGGGATTTGGTTTCCACCTATGCCAAATGCCCTCTGTGCACACTGTACTTCCCATGCTTTATTTTTGAATCCAAGAAAACAAATCAGCTGTTTAATAAAAGTATAGTCGGCACATAAAAGAGTGCTTGGTGATAGAGGAAAACGCAAGGTACTATAATTAGAATTCTGTCCAGATCAGAACACACAGAGCTGTGTTATCTTTTTCCAAGCTGTTCCAAGAGTGTCTCATGGAGTGAAGACAAGATTTACCTTCAGCAGTGCTAACTGGCCATTTTTCCCTCCCCCTTAACTCCCTCCCCAACTCAGGCTTCGAATCAGGCTGTATGAAATACTTTGAGGCATCCTTCTGATGTGAAAAGCACTACATTAATGTTAATTATAGTTGTCAGAGAGAATATTTTGGTGAGAATCTTGGAGAGGCATTCAAGATGCTAAATGGGATGAAGGAAGTAACCCAGGAACAATAGGTTTGGAGACACGAGACATCTGGACAAGAGGAACAGATTCAGATGGGTAATTTTAGGACAGTCACCAGGAAGTACTTCTTTACTCAGAAGGCAATTAATGTCTTGAAAGTGTTACCAGGAAGGGTGACTGAGGCCAGAATTCAGAAGCTATTTAAGAAAGAAAAACTTTGATTCTCAATCGGCAGAAGCTGGAGTGGGTATTTCTAGAAGCTTGAGATCAAGTGAATTTTGAAAAGCAAAGTTGTTTTGAAGGATTGTGTCTAAAACAAATTTATTTGAACTTTTTTTAAGCAAAGGAATTCTATATAACCAGTGTTGTAGTGCCTGTGGAAAGGAGGGGGTTGAGGGGAGAGAAGCGGAGATAGGACTGAAAGTCATTTCATAAACACTTCTTAATACCTAGTTCAAAGAATATAGTCCTTCAGAGAACGGGAATATTCCTTGTATTTGGTTCATATTCAGATGAGTAGAAAATCAGTGAAATCAAAAAGTCAACCCCTGAAAAAACCCACAATGTATTTGATTGAGTAACTATTCTCCCAGTGATATGGTCAACAGTTGTGGTACACTTGATACCAAGCTGATGCCTTGAAGCCATAGTCCAGCATGAGTCTTATAGCAAGAGCGGTAGAGGGGAAATAAAAGAGGATTTCTTAAAAAAAAGTAAAAATAACTAAGAAAGAGCAAGTCTGGAGAGCAGTGTGAGAAGTCATGGCACAGCACAAACGTTTGTTCTCAGATTTCCCCACACATTAAACCTTGAGCAGGGTGACCAAATGTTGTGATATATAGTATCAGTTTTAAACGTTTAGTCTAATTTTATGTTGTTCTTGCTCAGTTTTTAAATGAACTCAAGACAGGGCCAGGTCAAATTTAGCCAGAGACAATAACTCATCTGGGGACTGTTCCCAGAAATTGGGGATGTATGGTCACCCTACCATAGGGGAAAGTACAAGCACTAGTAACATGAGCTATTGTCTCTCTTTGACCGTGCCTTCAGCTCCCCTCTCGACTCTCTTCCCCCTCCTCGCTCCCTCCCTTCCCTCCCCTCACCCTGACCATTTCCCCCCTCCTCGCTCCCTCCCTTCCCTCCCCTCACCCTGACCATTTCCCCCCTGCTCGGGTCATGACCCAACTGTGCAGCGCCTTGGGACGTCCTCCTGACGTGAAAGGCGCTTTATAAATGGAATCTTGTTGTTGTTGTTGTCATATCCCTGCTGGGCTGATCATTGAGCAGCATTGGGAAACAGGTCTCCAGTTGCTTTTTTTTAAGCTGCATCAGTTTTGTTGGTCGATTGAAGCAGCCTTCAGGCAGAAGCAATGAAAGGTTTCAAACAGATAACTTTTAAATCTCTATCCATTTTACACTAAAACATTTTTCTTTTTTTTAAAAAAACACAAATGCTGTTTTGACTCAATAGCAAAGTGAGAACTGAATTAATTCCTAATAATATCATAACTAAATTGAGTATCAAAAAGTAGTGTTCTCTTTACTAAATAAGGTACGGCAATATTTGTACAGCCAACAAGGTCTCAGATTTATTTTCTGGCTGAATCTGATGGGACAAAATCCTTGATAGAAAATATTACTACTACTACTAGTAATAATCCTTGCATTTGATATAGCACCTTATCACATCGTCGAGACGTCTCAAAGCATTTCACAAAATATACTGTAAACTGAATTAACTGTAGATTTTGTGGACAAAATGCTGCAGCCAATTGCGCATCTCTCTTTGAAAATGTCATTTGTGGGTGAAATCGCAAAATATACAATCAATTTTCAGTCATCGCAAAATAAAAAAAATAATACTGCAAAAGCTTAACACCTTCATGGTATACTTTATTTTACCATTATTCTAGGTTCAATTAAATATTTCACAAATGTGCTGAAGGTCAATTAAAACTGCATTATTTCATTCTGGGAACCACACCTAGGTAAATACACAGTGGCCTCAACAAATGATATGCGTAACCTATGTCAGGACTCCCACTGTCCTAGTCTGGGGCTTGTCAGGCTAGAAAAGACTGTATAATTGGCAACACATATATTTTTAACCTTATTTGCATGCATATTATATCTTTTACGTTGACAAGTAGCAGGAACAACAAAAGTCAATTAACTGCAGGGAATTCCCAGAAAGCAGCCGTACTATCATATAATTTTCAAGCTAAATTAAAATAATTTGATCTTTGACAGAGGAGAATTGTCGAACAGAAGGGGGTCCATCGCAAAATATGGTGAATAGCATTTGAATTCTAACTAATTTATGTCAGAGCCATCTTTATACATATTTAAGCATGTCTCATGCAAGGTATAATAAATATGCAATCTAACGCCTTCAAGGTCTCCCTGTGGTTAATTTAAAAGGGTCTGGAGTCTCCTAAACTAACAGTGATGACTTAAATAAAAAGAGTATTGTACAATAGAAGTTGATGGGTAGGACTTCCATTAACACCCAATATTAGGCTCAGCAGGTAGTTTCTGCTGTAATTATTTCACTAAGCCTACCTTCACACTTTGAAGACTGAGGATGTATTGGACACATTATCAGCTGAAGAAGCAGCACTGTTAATAACATTCACTAAGAGAATATTGGAAAAATAAAAAGCAAGTCTATAATACCTACTTTTCTTCCCTAGATTTTCCTTCAACTCATTCTTGGGAATTTCCTTACAACAATTCAGTGCTGCAGACATTATCTCTATTTCCCCACCCACCACCCCCCGCTGTTATAAAATAGCATTCGATTCTGTTGGAGTGCATCATTTGTGGTAAGGTTTGGTTCATTTTATTTGAAGTCTATTTAAAGCATTGGTCACTCCTGATGAGACTAGTGAATAACTAGTTGAAATCTTTGAAACTATTTTAGCTTTTAAAACAAACGCTTCCTTTCCTTGCATTGATATTTGGTATATTGCCTTTCATGTTGGGAAGATGTTTCAGAGTGTTTCACAGGATTTTACTGTGAAGTGGAGTGATTCTATTTGTAGGTGAATGTAACAGCCCATTTATGCACAGCAATGTCCGACAAACAGCCATAACGTGAATAACCAATCTTATTTGGGGGAATGAAGAAGCCCTCTCTTCTAGAGCAGTGCCATGGGATATTTAACGTCCCCCTGAACATGTAGATGGAACATTGGTTTAATGTCTCAACAACAACAACAACAACAACTTGGATTTATATAGCGCCCTCCACACCAGACAGCGTCTCAGAGCGCTTCACAATAACGGATCCCAGGGCCGAGCCAGGGGGAGGGGGAGGAAGGTGACCAAAGGTGTGGTCGAAAAGAAAGGTCTTCAGCAGAGACCTGAAAATAGGAGGAGAGGAAGCGAGGCGAAGTAGGAGGAAGGGAGTTCCAGAGCTTCGGGGCATAGTGGCTGAAGGCACGGCCGCCGAGGGTGGAGCGGAGGACTCGGCGGACGAGGAGAAGGCCAGACCCAGAGGAACGAAGGCAACGGGCACTATTTTGAGGAGAGAGGAGGCCAGAGAGGTAGAGGGGGTGCAGAGGAGTGGAGGTATTTGAAGACAAGGGTGAGGATCTTGAAGTTGATCCTCTCTGGGACAGGCAGCCAGTGCAGTCTGGCGAGGACTGGGGTAATCGGGGAGCGGGGTTTGGTGTGGTGAGAATGCGGGCGGCAGAGTTTTAATAATCTGGATTTTATGGATGATAGTGGAGGGGAGACTGGCGAGGAGGGCATTTGAATAGTCCAGCCGAGAGGTGACAAAGGTATGGACCAGGGTTTCAACAGCTTTTGGAGAGAGCTATTGGCGGAGACGGGCAATGCGTCGGAGGTGGAAGAAAGCGGTGCTGGTGAGGGATCGGATGTGGGGGAGGAAGGATAATTGGGGGTTGAACCTGACGCCTAGTTTGCGTACGGGTTCGGAGAGTTTTAGGCGGAGATCGGGTAGGTGGAGGAGGTGAGAACCGTGAGATTTTAGACGTTGACGAGAGCCAAAGAGTATGGGTTTCATCTTGTCAATGTTCAGCTGAAGAAAATTTGCACTCATCCAGCTCCTGTGGTCTGACAGGCAGGCTGACAGAACATCAGGGGACTGGGGGTGGCAAAGTGAGGAAAAATAGAGTTGGGTGTCGTCCTCATACATGTAGAAATGTACCCCATGTCTTCGGCTGACATCCCCAAGAGGGAGCATGTAGATCAGAAAGAGGAGGGGACCAAGGATAGATCCTTGGGGTACCCCACAGGTAACCGGGTGAGAGCAGGAGGAGAAGCTGTTTGTGCAGATGTACTGCTGGCGGTTTTTGAGGTAGGACTCGAACCAGGCGAGTGCGGTCCCACTGAGGTGGATGACAGAGGAAACGCGGTGGAGGAGGATGGCATGATCGACTGTGTTGAAAGCAGCGGAGAGGTCCAGGAGGACAAGGAGGCAGAGGGAGCCCTGGTCACAGATATGTTGTGTGTCGGAGGTGGAAGAAAGCAGTGCTGGTGAGGGACCAGATGTGGGGAAGAAGAATAATTGGGGACGAACCTGATGCCTAGGTTGCGTCAGGTTCCGAAGGATGACACATCCAACAATGCAATACATCCCAGCATTGTATTGGTGTATCAGCCGAGACTACGTGAGTTTAAATCCTGACATGGAGCTTAAATCTCAGCAAAATTGCAGCTAGAGTGCTATCAACAGTGCCAGACTGACATCTTTACACAAAATAATATTTACTATTTGTTTCTCCTGATGAATAAGTGCTCCGAGACACTACCCCATGTGAAGGGTTCTATGCATATGCAAGATGCTATTGTTGTTGCTGCTATGGCAGATTAAAAAATACCCCTTTTTTTATTATAAATGAAGCATTTTTTTTTTTTCCTTGCCAGTTTTAAGGTCATGCTCAAGCTGTTTATTAAATGTCAGTCAGTGTAGGTTAAATTACCAACTATATTCCAATATATATATAAATATATATTTATCTATATATCACACAGTTTATATATTGCAATTACAATGACTGAATAGTGAAGACTGCTATTACCAAAGTATCATTCATGAAGCAGAAAATTCTACACAGTATTTGCCTGCACGAATATTTTGGATTCAAATCTAAGAATACAAACAATTGTGGCAGATTCTTAAATCCAATCATAATTTGGAAACTTTTTTTAAAAAACTGTACAAAACTAGCTTCTAAATGAAGACTGGAGTTTTGAAAAAAAGCTTCACGATTTAGCATGATCGGAAATGTCAAGACACAATGGTTCTACAGTTAATACTTAGTGAAATTGCAGGCCTCTGAACTCTTTCATTGCTATCATTTTAAATCTTCAATCTAAATGGGGAATGAGGTCTTCCATGGCGTAAGGTTTGAGGGTCAGTTAAGATTGAGACACTGCTCATTTCTCCATCTTACCTCCAGCTCCACAGACTCGTTCAGTTTCTTGCAAGTGGCAGAGAAGGTTTCAGATGTGCCAAATTCAAAATACCAGAATTTGTTCTTCATTCTGAAAGAAATGAATATAAATTAGTTGATTAATTCCTTCTTTCCACTTTCTCTCCTCTTCTGTTTAAATGTACAGATCCACAGGGAACAGTTTTTTGTAAGTAAACCCATGGAGTTATCATTGCTAATACTAAACTGTCCTCACCAGGTACACTCACACAATCCGGCAGAGGTACCTCTATGATAAATGGAAGGAATCCTGACCCTCATCTCCTCCCCCTCCCTGGGAATTAAAACTGTAACTTTTATGTTCTATACAATTCAGGTCACATGAAATAGTGCCTTTACCAACCGAGCTGTGAAGGGAGTCACAATACCTTCTAGGTAGGAAATATATTTTGAGTAATGTCTGAAGGGGAAGAAATGGTTGATAATCTTGCGCAGTACAAAAAAAAACGATCTAGGAAAATGACGAAAGTGCTGGATAAACTGTTCAGATAACAAGTTGAGGGGATCATTGACTGTTCTTTGTATAACCATTAAAATAACCAGAATTGAGACTAAAGATATGTCTTTCATAAATCACACGCAAAAGGCATAATGTATAATATTTCTCAATCAGCCAGTTGACAATGGTCCACTTTACATTTCCTGTCACATGGTTGGGGAGTATTATTGTCCACCTGGCAAAATGTTGAACAGTGCTATCAATAGCATCTCCTCAATAAGGAAGGAGGGACCAGAACAGCAGAAATAGAGGTAGCTGAAATAACAGACCTAGGCACAGCAGCAGACACAACACGACTGTACAGATCTGACCAGTCCTCTCCAGAAACATTACCTTGGGCTGTATGGGATAAAACATTGTAACATGTGATGTGATCATTATTACTAGTCATTTAATCACAGGAAATATCAGCTTGCAAGTTGTGCTGCAGGACCCCCTCTGCCCCAACGTCATTAATATCAAAAAGGTTAAAGCTACTCGTCACTTTTTAATTTAATTTTTAATTTGCCCGAGCATAGCGTTTTGAGCCTCAATTCCTGAGATAGTGGCTTAACTCCCAACGAAATGATCACATCGTGCAACGTTATTTTACCCCAATATTCTGAGTAGAGCCCAATTTTGAAATGCAGTGCCAACTAGCATCTTCAGTTTGACACTCTCTCTGTTAGAATCTCTTACTCCATTAGCTCCTCTTAGTTTAACATTCTCTACAACATTCTTTACAAACTGCAACTTCTCTTGGACTCTGTATGAGCCTTACTATTTTCAAATAAAGATAAACTAATCCATTCAGGAGTTTCCACTTGTAACCTGCTGTAGAAATGGCCACAGGTCCTTCAAAGTGGTGATTATGTGCAGGTAAGAAGACAGTTTATGGTGCTTGCATCCTTAAACCTCCCATAAAAAAAGGAAATCTTGGCAACAAAATGCACAGTACTTCAGCATTGCTCCACCATTAAATACCATCTAAATGACCTAGAAAGAAAATCAATATTTCTAGTCAGCCTTCTGGCTACTGTTTAGCCAGTAGGTATGGATTTTCTTTGACTTACTGAGCTCCTTTGGGAGTACTGAAACCCCCATAGGATAATAATGAGTTAGCTGGACAGTCCAGCTCACTGCTGAACATTCAAGTGGTTGATATTGTACACGTCAGTGCTTGGTGTTACAGATTATACTTGTCATCAGTCTGCTGTTATAGGGTAGCAACATTCTACTTAACCTTTGGGCACTACACAGGATTTAAAGAGTCTGAGGTGTCACTCTTGTTTACTTAGATAAGGTACAGTCAAACTGAAATAGTTGTGGAGTTAAAAAAACACAAGCAGTGTACTGATATCCTATAGATATCCAGATGAATCAAGTGGGGCAATGCAGCTTTTTTTCCTGGAAAAGTAATAGAGGATAAAAACAAATCTGTGGCCTTGTATGTTTGGCAAATCAATGGCATCTTAATTGTTTACTGCAGTCACAGTGGAATTAAGCTGAATAATATTTTCAGCAACTTTAGGCTTCATATTTTAGAGTTCCTTAAAGTGAACGGTAGAAATGCTGGTGTTAGTGCCCATTAACACTAATGGAAGGAGGCAGAGGAGTGAGCTATTACCTTGGGGATAACATTGGACGATGTGTATAAGTAGTGGGAGATAGGGGAGGGAAATGGAACTTGATCACACGTGTTTTACTTGACTAGAACTCAATACAATCTCTCACTGTGAACTAAATGTATGGGAAACAGGATTTTCATCTCCAGATCATTAAGACTAGAAACATCTCCAGCTTCACTCTGGCAGGATCTGGTGAAGAAAGTAAATCAACGTCAGGGTGGGGAAGGAAGCGATGGGATGGGGGTCATTAAACCAAATCAAGAAAGGGAGAATAAGATTTCTGTAAGTGTATAAAATTGAAATAAATCCTTAACGATAAAAGATCAGAAGATACCCAAACAGCTCTATGGATAAGGAATGTCCAAAGCAGATGGTCCATTAACTGGTTATCGGATAAATGATTAAGGCTACATGTGATTTCCTCAGTATTCATGCTTAACCCATCTACAAATTAGACCACAATTTAATCAGGACAAATACAACCTACTAATTCACAGTCACTACACTTTACAAGAAAAGTCCTGTGAAGCTTCTTTGAGATGTTTTAATGATTTGTTGGATTATTTTTATTATTATTGTTAAAACATCTGGATTTAGTAGAGTGAACATTTGCAGTGTCCTATTCCACACTTGATGGGATTATTATAATGAATTTATTAAAGACCACAAGTTTAAACCCATTCTTTAACTATGTCTGCCATTAATTCCAATTTGTGACTGGAAGATGCAAGCATTTTTGTGCTGTTATTTTTTTCAAAATGTGTCAATTTTTTTCTTGAGATGCCCGACTCAACTTTGATTTTAGGTCCTGGAGGCAGCATTTGTTTTAGTTTACACTCACTGCAGGTTCGTCTTCTTGCACAAGTGTTTTTTTTTTGCAATGTTCATGAATGTGTGCAACTTTCACAATTTTATTACATTTGAATTCACAATTTAAAAATGTTCGTTTTACAAGGTTATGTTAATCTTTTACAACATATAATACTGGAAGAATATTAAGTATCCAATTATAAAATAGGTGTATATGCTCATAAGCAAAACAATAATATTTGAGTCAGAGTTAGACTGAGGATAATGTAGATTCAGTTTTTTATAATATACTGTACTCTACTTGAAAAAAGACAGCAATATTATATTGACTATGCTCAATAGCATTTACAAGGCAGTTACTTCAGCTTAGTAACCACAATTAGATGAGGAACACTTATTTGAATTAAAGTGTGAGAAATATTTATTGGTATCTATATGTATAAAGATTGTGAACTATAGCTTTGCATTCAGTTCAGCCAATTTGCACACTGCAATGTCCCACAAACACCCATGGAGTGAGTGACCAATTTTTGTTTGGGGGGTGGGGGATTGTTGGCCAGGACACCAGGAGAAACTTCCTTCTGTTTTTGAATAGTTCTAATGGGATCTTTAACATCCACCTGGATATGCAGATGGTACCTCGGTTTCTATTTTTACAAATAAATTTGTATACAGTAAATATAAATGCATTCTATTCCAATAGGTCAGAACAAAACACATTCAGGTACATGTAAGATTCTAAATTTAGAAATCTTTTACAAATCACCACAATTAGTTCCATTGTCAGAAATGGTAGAATGGAAAGCTATTCATCTGTATGCCACAGGTCCAAACTGTGCACCTATCGGAACCTGTCACATTTCTCAGAAAGCTACATGTGCACTATTGTATTCTGGAAAATAGACTAACTTTATGCATAGGGTAGATAACATGGGAACAGCTTGCCAACAAGGTAGTAGAGGTAAATAATGTCGGCACTTTCAAGAAAGAATATGATAAATTGTTGATGGCAAAGTGGTTTGGGGATTATGTGAGATACAGAGATATGCTTTTCACAGTCCCACATGCTCTCATGTTTGTATAAAAACAGAAAGCTTGTTTTGATAAAACCATCAGTAAAGTGATTGCGGTGTTTGAAACAATGAAAGGATTTGACGAAGTAGATACAAAAGTTTTCCTCTGATAGGGGAATGCAGAACAAGAAAATAATCTTACAATTAGAGACAAACTAGTTTAGGGTGAAATCGGAAAACACAGAGAATAGTGGAATGTAGAATTCACTGTCCTAAAATGTTGCAGATGATGGTTTAACTGAAATATTTGGCTATTTGGTTAGAGGTATCAAGGATGAGAGGGAAGGGAAATGGCATTAAGTTACAGCTCCGCCATGGTCTAATAATACGGTGGATGAGGCTTGATAAACTAAATATCTACTCCTGTTCCTCTGTTATCTTCTTAAGGAAGTCTTCAGATAACATATTATACAGAATCCCATCTGCCTGTTCAGGTGGTCGTTAAGTATCCCATCGCACAATTTGAAATTTTTGAAAAGAGAAGTAAGTATCTCCCGGTGTACTGGCTAACATTTCTCAAGATAAAATTGATCATTCAGTTCATGACCGTTTGTAGGACATTACTGTGCGCAAATTGGCTGCTATGTAAAATATGTATATACTATACCATAAATCCTGTGAAGCTCTGTGAGATGGTAATATATGGTGCTACACCAAACACAAGGTTACTATTTGCTACTATTTATTATTATTATTATTAATATTAACAAAGGGTTATTTTACTTCTCATAAAGAAAATTACTGCTGTGCACTTTCAGGGTGACAATTGCAAGGTGAAATGTGATAACAATCACTGGAGATAGTCACAATTATGAACCATATGGATTAGGTGCAGCAAATCATCATCAACTAGCTGCAGGAGTATCCCCAAACCCCTACTACCACCCTCCCCACAACATTTTCAGCGTTCCAAGATACCGTGCTGTATAAGTTCAAGTTGTTGTATAGTACAAAACAAATTTACAAATGTATACAACATTTGATGTTGGGAGGATGTCCGAGGTGCACAGAGACGTGTTGGGAAAGATGACCAAAAGCATGGTAAAAGAGATAGGTCATGAGG